TCCTGCATCAGCCCTGGGAGGAAGATATTATTCACTCTGTTTTATAGATAAAAAGACTGAAGTTCCAGGGAGCCACAGTTCAGAGTCCTAAGTGGCAGAGCATGAATTTGAATCCGAGACTCCATATTCCTATGTACCTGATGTGGAACTGAAGCCCCTAGAGACTTACTTGTCGTGGGGGAGGGGACAGTCACCTCATCAGGCTTCCAGGTCCTTGTTGCTGACCAAGCCCTGTGCCTCTTGCTCACACAGGGCCATATCAGGGCCCCACTGCAGATCCCACACATGGCCCTTCAACTCATCTCTCAGGCTCCACTCACAATTTCCTCAGCCCTCCCAAGCAAAGAGAACTGTTTGGGAGCCTTTACTCTTGTCATTAAGTAGAGTCACCAAGCACTCGCCTTAATGTTGCTACAAGGAGAGCTGAACTAAGCTGGAGCACTTGGTGTAATAAATACCGATGATTTCTATTAACAGAGAGGCAATTACTGGGCCCAGGGAATCTAGGGCATGCAGCCCAAGGGAGGGCAGAAGAAGAGGAATCATTTTGATAATTAAATGAGAACAGAACAACGCTTCAGCTGGGCTCTGTTCTTCTGGACTGATTAAGAAGCGCCTGCATTCCTGTGTACACTGTTGGTTTCTCTCTGTCCAGAATGTCCTTGTCTGGCCCTGGGTCCAGGGCAAGCAGACCCTACAGACCCTTGGTGGGACAATTACATGGCTCCTTTAGCTAGTTGGCTTGCAATTATGCCCAAACCTGAGCATGCACAAGTCTCTCTGCTCTCTCCTTGCCTCAGCTCTCAACTCCCAGGGGAGCCTGTAAAAAAAAAGCACAGAGGCATCTGACCTCTTCTAACTTCACAAGGGGGAAGAATAACCATCAGCATCAGCTCAAGGCTGATTCCTATGAAGCAGAGGTCAGATATGTCTCTACCCTCCAACCTTTTTACCAATTCTGACACCAACCATCCCCCCATGTAACTCTCTTCTCTGCTGAGTTTAATAATTTGTTGCACTGGCCACACAGAAATCACAGACCATACTATACTCACAGTTATGGGTTTTATTAGAAAGTCTAGGTTACAAATCAGGCTCAGGAAGCACACAGGCAAAATCTCCCTTCTTCAGTGTAGGACAGCTCTTTCAGTTCTTCTCTGCCCCCTCAACATAGCTCATCTAGGCTCCCCCAGGACAGGCCTCTTCTCTGAGCCCTTAACCCCACTTGGGCCTAACCATTGCTCTACTTGGTCAAGTGTTACAAACCTCTTTAGCTCTGCTGGTAAGTGCCTAGAAGCACCCCACTCTGCCAGGAATCCTCCTGCCCAAAGACAGCTCTCAGCTCTTTTGCTCCATGGGTCTACAGACCCACTGCAGTCATCTTGGTCCACTTTGTCTCTCACCAGTCACCTGGTTCTGCTGCCACCATTTCTCTGCTGCATCTCACCATCTCATGCAGTCTCTAGTGTTACAGCTCTCTCTCTCTCTCTCTCTCCTGAGTCCAGGAGGATCTCAGCAAAGGGACCCTGGGTCCAAAGAATGTCCTGTATTCCTGGCTCTTCTTTCTTGATGGTAGTGAGGTTCCCCCCTTTCTGCCTCTGGTATGGCTCAAATTAAGCCTAATGGGATGGCAAAACTAACCAATCCCTTTGCAAGGGTTCCATATACCTTATTTGCATGGTCCTACCCCCACAAGGGGGAGCTCTGGTAGCATAGTGGCTAAGACACTTGCCTGCTAACCAGACGGCTGGCGATTCAAACCCACCAGCCACTCCTCGGAAGGAAGGTTGGGCAATCCTACTTCTGCAGTGATACTGCCTCGGAAACCCAAGGAGGGGTTGCTATGAGTCGGGTTTGACTCGATGGCACATAACAACAACAACAACAACAACCCCCACAAGGATGCCACGCACCTTATTTACATTATTAGCAAGATGTTCAGTCTCCCTGATGGCCACAAGGTACATAATCCCACCCAATCATTCTGTGAGAGTCACAGACTACACATGACTAAAAGGGCCGTATTAAGTAGTTCACTGAACTGCAAGCCCCCAGCCAATCAAGCCTGCAGCAGCTGGAAGAAGAAACTCAAGCAAACATCTAGCAACCCACTATTGCATCTGTCCCCCAGCCCTGTCACCTCTCCAAACTCAGAAGCCACAACTTATTCCATCCAGGTAGCCCTGAGACTGGTCATTTGATCTGGATCTCCTACAGGCCTGGATTGTAGCTACATACAGTCCTTCCCAGGGCCTGACTGATAGGGGTACCCTCTCAGTGTTCATGGAGTAGTTCAGCCTATCACAAATAGCCAGCTTGGATCCAGTCTTTTCATTAGGAGTCATGAAGGTACCACTTAGTGAGAGCTTGCAAGTGCTAAGCACTTACTTGTATTATCTCATTTAATCTTTACAACAACACTGCTAAGAAGACAGCTCTGTCTTCATTTTAATGTAAAAACACTGAGCCTCTGAGGCAAAGTTACTGGTAAGGACAGTACTGAAACTCTGACCAGAGTTGTCTGACTCTCAGTGCTGTGCTTTTTCAGTTCTCATGCATGGACTTCCTTCTGGAGAAATGATATTTACTTAGGATTAAATCAGGTGTCACTGCTAATTCTGATAGAGAATAAAAGGCCTATAAGATTACTAAAATCATTATATAAAAATTTAATATAAGTTCACCAGTGTCTTTATGTCTATTCCCTACAGATCAGGAGAAAATTGATTTAAGCAGGATCTAGGTTAGATCCAGGACCTCTAGTGGTACAGTGGTTAAAGCATTAGACTACTAACCAAAAGGTCAGTGGTTCAAACCCACTAGCCTCTCCATAGGAGAAAGATGAAGGCTGCCTCTGTAAACATTTATAGCCTTGGAAAATGAAACAAGATCTATATACTTCACACCATATACAGAAACAAACTCCAGATGGATCAAAGACTTAAATGTGAAATCTAAAACTATACAGTTCCTCAAGGAAAATGTAGGGGCAAATTAAAGGGCCCTAATATATGGCATAAATAGACTATCAAGCATAATTCAAAATGCACAAACAGCAGAAGAGAAACCAGATGATTGGGACCTTCTAAAAATTAAATTTTTATGTGCTTCCAAAGACTTTAC